CTTATACAATATCATGATGCACTGATTTAATTTTTCAAACATTTATGGATATAAACAGGAAAATAAACTGATGATATGTCTATTTACGACAAATTGTATCCATGACAAACGTTGAAAAATTTTTCCATCAATTTCTTCTGAGCTGATGGATGTTTTATCATATCACCAAGATGGGGTGGTGAAGGAGTCCTTCAAAGATCGTAAAATTATGATGTGACAATTACTTAGGAAGAATTAAAATTTCAACTGCTCCGTTGAAATGTGTTCTATTTTAAAAATCCAATTTATAAGTACGGAAACACGGTGCCTATTACCTTAAATATCTTTAATTGATTGCATTTATACATAGCTCAAGTTCACTTGTACTTGCGTTCAGTAATGTTTTAGTTTCCCTTCATTTCAGATTTTCATTTGGCATGGTTATTGATAATGAATTAACACTTAAACTCCCAGAAGTGATTAACATCTAAATTTTCCCCATGATATCCGTACATTATCTTGTAACAGGTAATAAGAATACTCAAACTCATCATGCAGAAGTTTTGAACTTGATCAAACACCAAATTGTTGTGACTAATTTACAAGGAAATGTGAATCAGCTATTTGGAGTAAATGGTTAATCACTGAAAAGCATAAGCGAGTGGAAAATATCTTTTATTGAACGCTTGGTGATTACATACCATGATAGGGTTTTTCTTCATTACATTGCCATTAAAGTTTTCCTTTTTCTTTTAGGTGAAGCCACAAGATTCAAGAAATTTATTGATCAAAATAAAGTTTAGGAAATGTCTCAGATAGATGCCGCTGTCGAATTAAAAAGAGAGAGCGTAAAGAAGAGTGATGCTCGCGTAGTGTCGAGTTGATTATGCTCAAAAAGCTTGCGCTTTAAAAGATTACAATAACAAGTCTTTGGGCGAAAAAAATGTTCATGGAAAAAAAGGTCTGCGTCTTTGAATTGTGCTTAGTGTTCATCAATAAATATACTTTTTTTTTTATAGTCTTTTGGCGGGAAAAATCTTTCAACGTGAAAAAGATTTTCTCCCATCAAAAGTCAAGTATATCTTTCGTTTTAACACTAGGCGCTGTTCAAACCTGCAGAAATTTTTTTCCTCTCGGCAATCCTCCATACTCAAAAAAAAGTAAAAGAGATAGCCTATATTTTGGCTGGTTACCAGGCCCTTTTAAAAGCGCAACTTTTTTTTTCTTTATTTGTACAACAATAAGGAAATAAAGACAGTATGATGTTTGTGAGTTTATTTAATAAATACAATGTTATATAACAATGAAATTGAATGTCCATACAACTTTTGATATGCAAAACGTATTATATCATTTTACAAACCACTGAATATGTCCAAGTATCTGTCAAAACTTCCAGGAGATAACTTGCTAATTAACAAGAATTAACTAAGTCCGATAACCACTGAAACATCTCTTAAAAATCTTTAACATTCTACTGACAAAAAAGGTATGTAAAGAATTATTCACAGCCTTGAATGAGCTAGAGATGACTAAGTCTGATTGCCACATCGATAACAGCTACTGAAGCTTTGCTTTAAAGATATGAAACATCTGCATTTGACACTGTGAGGATTAACTATTGTTCAGTGTCTTGTCAATTTCGCCTTTTTTTCCATGTCAAATAGTGAAAATTTACTGCTACTATCAGCTTTTGAAACTCAAATTTTACAAATCTTGTGGCTGGAAAAAATAGATATTAACCAAACTCTGGAAAATTGTGGTGTACTGAACTATGTTTTCAACCCTGTTTAATTTTGTTTGAAAGCCGAATTTTCTACGCAGTAATTCGATAACTTGAAAACAGAACTAACCTAATGGCGCGAACTTATGAGTGCTGAGCCGACATTCTCATCGATCTTGACACTAGACAGTCATGGCCTTCTAAACTTCAGCTTAAAAGCGCGCTTCTTAAAAATTGTTTTCACAATAGAATTTTCAATTAGTGGTGCAGCGATTGGCAAATTCGTGCCAAAAATCGAGTTAGGGGGCGCAAGTAACATCTAATTTGTTCTAGTACCCCCCAACTTATTTCCAACCTTCTTTCTTGAACAAGGTAGTTTGCTGTACAAGAGGTTTTAACTTGTCTTCTCTCTCTGTGCTTGTGGTCCGGTGTTCCTGTGTTCCGGTGGTCCACGTCAAGAAACGATTCGATTACTGCCAGATAACAAATACGAACATGTTAGAATACGAACGAAAATAAACTTGCTGACAGAAACATAAAAGTGATAAAATAAACAAATTTACATAATTCATTTTTGTTTCTTTGATTATATTGTTGTGATTAGGATCTCGACCACTTAACATTCTCTTGGGCAACATGTCTAAAGTGGTTGGTGAGAATTTTTAAATCTTCTGTGTGTTCCTTCTTGTATTGTATTCTCTCTCATTTCAGTGAATGCTGTGACAATGTATTCATACTTTTAAAGAAATATTGCATACTGATCAGATTGCCATCACTCTTGACAGTGAGAACTGAAAAATTTCATTTTAAAAAACCTTTTCAGAGACTTCGAAAAATGAGAGACTGTTTGTTGCGTCAGCCAAACAGAACTAAATTACGTTGCCATAATCTTGTGAATAAAAAGGCTAATACAAAAACCCAAAGTCAGTTTGAAAAAAGTGAGAATGATTGATTAGCTGCCGTCTACACTGCTCTTTTTCAGATACCTTTAAATTTTGTTGCGATAATTTGCTAAAAAAATTTTGCTCAAATCATTTTATCATAGATAATGTACAACGAGAAGAGTTACTTGAAATTTTTCGGGAAAAAGTTTATGCTTTTAATAGATCAAGTTCTCCAATTTGTGCGCAAAAACTTGTTTACATTCCAATCATTCTTTTTCGGTGACATGACTCCGCCCCAGAGTGTCGTGAGAAGCAAATTGACAGTTCTTTGCACTCTTCCTATACGAATAGTAACGAATAGTCCCAAAGATAAAAGCTCATTACTGAAGCTACAATTGATCAAAAACACTTCTAAACATCTCTTCCACTGCAAGATTTCCGTAAAACTCCATACTTCATTATGCAAACAGTACTTGGATAAAAGAAAGAAAAAGCCCGACAACAGAGGACCGACGGCTTTGTTTTTCAATTGGTATGTGGTTATACGGAAACGTTTACTGCGCCAATTTAGTATTTCATGCAGTTTTAATTTGGGTTTCGTCGATGGCTGAGCATTTGTTTAAATGAATGAGTTGTAAGAAGTTCTCTTTCAAGAAATAGCCTAAGAAGCCCATTAGTTATGTTAAGCAAGTTTTAGAACAACTTTATGACGTTGACTTCTTGAGGCTTAAATTCACTCCGCGTCAGTTTCTTCCAAAACTTTGGAACCGACAAGAAAATTACATCTCGTGAAAACATTCTGCTGCCAATTCTTCTCGCATGAAATTACATGAGAAACCTACAATGACCCTTAAAAGCCAGCTCTTTATTATAATATACGTGATTTTGGCGTTATTAATCAACAGGGATTGGTGTAAATATCAATCAATCCACTTGACATCAGCAACCACATGTACATTTGTAGACCTATCTTAAATAAATTGGATGCTTTTTCCTACCTTGGTCCGACTCTTTGCTCGCGTTTCCTGGTCAATCTTTCCAATACTTTATTTGAATACTTGCTCAAAGAATCTCATCTGAAAGGGCAAAAAAAAATATAAATATTATTTCTTAGGCTTCAATAGACCGCGTCCAGGCGGTGAAACACTTTAAGTGGTTCATTTATCAGGTTACAATTCCTCAAAAAACTAGTGAATCACACAGTTCTGATGTTGCTAACCTTTCAGCCAAGTAGAGCTTATCGTTAAATATTTCTAACGCCTACTCGAGGAGGTTGCTCTTTGTCATGCAACACCTTTGAATTTAACGCCATGAGGAAAAATAATTCTCTCCCCTATACATTTACTCGACTTCAGTTAGTCAATATAACCCTCTTTAACATATAATACCCTTTCCAAACTGTAAGATATTACGGTTGATGTAGCATTCTTTCATCTTAGTGAAACGTGCTATACAGCAGACTACGTACAAGTTCACACTTTCGCAGCCTTACCTTGTGTTCGTCGTGGAAATGTTTTGGCCAGCTGTCTGTCCTCGAGCAAAAGCAACTTCTTAAATACTTCAGTCCATCTTTGAACGTTACAATTGACTAATTTACGAGTTTTTAAGGTCGGCTAGGGAAGTGAAGCAGTTCAGTCCACGAGGAAACCCAAGATGTAAATAAGTCGAAGGATTCACACGTGCAAATTCTCTCCTCACGACTATAAACTTGGGAACGAGGTTCGAATAAATTTGTACTGCAACCTTCTTTTAAACGAGAGTGACTTCATTAAGGCTTTTAATAGTTTATAGTTCTTACAAGTACTTACCGGATTTTCGTAACACACATATATATTTTTTTGCTTTGAGAAGACTTACCTGTAACACCCGGGGGAAAAAACACATCACCGTCTAAGCGAATCGGTCGGATGTAAAACTAAACAAGTCGTAGACAGGTTTGGTTTTCTTCATCTGAGTTGATAATGTAAATTGGCAAGCGTAAAGAGTTTCAAAGCTGATGTTTCGACAGTTAGACCTTCGTTAGAGCGAAGGAATGTGAGCTAAGGATCGAAACATCAGTTTCGAAACATTTACATTATCAACTCAGTTGATAAAACCAAAATTATCTTGTTATGCTTCTCCACCGACGCAGCACCTCAGTTCTTAGAAGCTTACCCTCTTTAAACAAATCTTACTTGGTCATCCACCTTTTCCATTACTTGGAAGCATTAACATGTTGATACTTAACGCTTTGATCAGCATCGCATGATGTAGACATTTATTTTGATCGGATGTGACAAGAATGAATCTCTAAATGTCTGTCTTAAAGAGGTGTCTGTCAAAAGAGACTTGACAAGAAAGTTAGATACTATAGCAGGCATATAAACTAAAAAAACAATTTGAAGTTGGTGGTTAAAAATTTATTTCATTAAATAATGACTGTGTCCTTACGACTTCCTCTCAACAAGGAATGCTCTGAACGCTAAACAATTACTTCCGTCCAGCGTATTTACAATTGAACAGGTCTTACCCTACTTCGATACATAATAAATAAATTATTCGCTTTTTCACTATATAAAATTCATCTTTCTCTCAGTCTCGCCGTCACCAGTCTCCTGTCAGCTCTTGAAAGGTCACTTGATATAGAAAGCTAAAATGGATAAAAAAAAAAAAAAAGTTGTTAAAATAACGGCGAGACTGAGTTGGCTGGACGAAATTCTGAAGTCTTATTGGTTGATTGCCGAGTGTTAATCAGTATTAATTCACCGTGGATTCTTCACAGAGATCTCGTGATTTGCCTAATTCGGCTGTTAGTATAATTTGGTTCTATCATCTGAGCTGATAGTGTAATCTGGCCACCATAAAAGAGATTTTTAAGCTGATTTTTCGAGTGCTAGCCCTTCGTCAGAGCGATTCACTATGACGAAGGGCCCCCAGAAAGTACAACAGTTTTTTTGGTAGACTGCTTGCGTTCCTTCCTTTTCGGCAACGTCCGTTGCACGAGTCAAAAAAATCAGTGAAAAAAAAATTTGATCTTAGCGTGCCGCGCGGAATTCTGGGTGTGTGGCACACGAAAAATGGTACTTTTAATGCACCTCACTATACTTATCAACTTACCCTCTCAAATGTCACATGGTCTGGAGGTAAATAACACTCTAAATGGTGGTAATACTTCTGCCTGTACTGACGATATCCAAGTCGGGTGTTGAACGCCACAACCCATCTTAGAGACCTGTGATTAAAGGACATATAGTTTAATCCTTTACATGCTAACATCAGTATGCATATTCTCTATACAGGGTGTTTATAGTACGTATTATTTGGAGCAACAAATTACCTGTTTGGAATGAGACTATCGCAAGTTCTGCACAGTGCGCGACCACTGCGGGCATACTCGACACCATAAGAATAATCGTTGTAATCAGACTCCTTAGACAAAGAAGTGAAAAATAATTAAATCAACAATATGCTGATTAACAAAAAATAAGAATTTTGATCGTGTAGTCTGATGGTCCTAGCGAGTGTAGTCAAATCTATTCAACTCTTACGATGAGTTCTGCTCAGGTCGCAGAAACGTCAGCCATTACTAACTACAACATTCTTTATCAGGACTACCCTCCCCCGGATGATCATATTACACGATCAAACGTTACCCCGGGATCAAACAGATTGCTGGCAAAATGTACGAAATAGATCATCTTTTCACATAAGAAAATGCGCAGTACCCTAAATCAACAACTATAAAGCACGTCATTTTCTCAGTGAGACAAAACAAAGAACTCAGCGCGCGTTCACAAAGACTTTTAATCTCTTATAATCAGCAGGCGGCTTGCGTAACAATTCCAGTAACGTTTAGCTCTCCATACCCTTGCTGAGATATTTTGGCCCTCCTCCCCACCCAAGATGGAGCACAGTCCCTCTTGGTCTACCGACTTGCATAGACTGGGGCCAAGAGAAGATGGGAGGGAGGAACTTGGAACTGTTTTGAAAGAGTATCAAAAAACTTGATGACAACAATAACTTTAATCAATATTACCTCTTCTGAGTAATCGTCACTGTCATTACTTTCTTGCACAGATTCACTTTTATCATCTTCACTTTCACTATCACTAAATTGAAACCAAAAAAATTCAAAACCAAATTTTAACCCTTTAACTCCCATGAGTGACCAAGACAGAATTTCTCCTTACAATATCAGTACAATGTCAACTAGAAAGTGATGAGAATAACTTAGCAAAATATCAATTTGGGAATAATTAGTTGATCCAATACTAAATTCTCTGAACAAACATTATAAGTATTGTATGGTTGACAATAATGAGAATTACAAACTTGATCTGGGAGCTCAGGGGTGAAATGAAGAAATATATGATATATTCTTTACATTTAGTCAAAAAGTTTCCTTAAAAAAAAAAAAAAAAAAAACAGCCAACCCTGACCTGGTTGATGAAACAGGCACAACTTTCTTCCCATTTTTCTTTTTGGCTTCTTTGCTCATCTCCTATAAACCAAAGTGAAATGACATAAAAAAAGTAATACTGGTACACAGAGTTCACAAAGTTCACAAAGAATCTTACATTCACAAATATCGCTTTTCTGAAAATACCACACAAGTGAATAGTACATTTCATGTGCGCTGATTCATTCACTGAGAAGTGATCAGCAAGTAATATTCACTGCCAAGCAGGCAAAAAGACAAAATCAACTTTCAACCATTTTTCATTATAATATTGACAGAAATAAACTAATTTTAACTTATTTTTTTGGTTTCTGAAAAAATATATTCACCTCAGTGTTGGTGAATAGCAGTGAATATTAACTGGGCCACTGAGTGACAAGGTAAATATCCACCATTGGTCACCTCCACTGAGGTGAAATATATTTTAAATTATTTGTTTTAATTATGTTAGAAAGAGAAGAAAAATGTTATATAAGAAAGGTATGTTCAGTTCACCACAATTTGTGAATTAAAAGATCAAATACAAAATTTAATTAACTGCAACAGCAACATTAAAGGTTTTCAAATCACTGCTCACCTGAATTTTCAGCAGCCTTTCTTCAAGTTCCTCTGGAGAAAGAACTTCTTCTGCTACTTTGTTTATTGTATTGTCTAGCACCTGGAAGGTCAAACAGGAAGCTTAACACTTGTCCATTGTCATTACAATTAAATTCTTATTTCCTATAAGCAAAATACAGGACATGTCACAGAAATGGAAAACAAAATTGTTCACATGTGAATAAGAATTGAGTCACTGAGTAGGTTTAAAGTGCAGGTCACAGATGAGAGCCCCAAAATATGTATGTTACTCTTGCAAAGAATGCATCTAAAACCTGACACAGACTAGTCTTGACAGACAAATAAATATGTCTCGAACAGTGCTTAAAATCCACCCCTATTCTGGGATGTCATAATTTGACAAAACATTACCTTTAAATGATGTGAACCTCTTACAATTCACCTCAACTTTCACTAACTGTACAAGCAAAACTGCAGGGATGGAGAGAAAAAAAGCCCTAAGTGACTTGTGATGAACTGCAAGATTTTCCTTTCAAATTGTTTTGCAATGCCTCACAAAAAGGAAGAAGGTTAGTGTTTCATAAAAAAATAACCTTAAGGCTCTTTTCTAATCACCCCTTCAACTGTTAACCCTTAGAACTCTAAGAGTGACTGGCGTCTAATTTCTCCTTACAACATCACCCCTGAATCACACATTAAGGTCTTGAGAATACAGGAAATAATCAATGGCAAAGGAAGCCCTTGATTGTTAAATAATTTCTCCTTATCAGCACCCTTGGAAATGTATAAAGAACAGTATAGAGAATAAGCATACTGATGTTGAGGTGTGAAGGATTCACTCACCTTCACTGGTACAGCAGACTTGAGTAGAGCCTTAGCTCTACAGTTTGGACAGTCTTTTGAATGACTAAGTAGAAACAAGAAAAATAACTTCCCATGAGTGACCAAGAAAGAATTTCTCCTTAAGGTATCAACACAATATCAACCACATAAGTGATGAGAATAAAGAAAAATATCAATTAGTTGATCCACTACTAAATTTTCTGAACTAACATTATATTATTTATAAGAATTGTGTGGTTGACAGTCAGGAGAATTACAAATTTGACCTGGGAGTTAAAGAGTTAACATCCCATTTTATTCTTAGCACTCTTTCAATTATATCAATCAATACAATCATATTAGTGAATCAAACTGAAACAAAATTCTCAAGTGTGATTGGTTAGCAGCACCGACAGGATGGAGTCCACACATTATGCCTTTGCAATTGAAGATTATACATCAATTGTACAAATATTTTTTTCTTTGCAGAAAACAAGTGAACTATGAAGCTTTTATAAAGAAATGACTCTATTTGGCCTATGATTATTTTGTTATTTCTGAATCAAAACATTCTACTTTAGTGTATGGTTAAATAATGTGCTGTGGAATCATTTCAAATGACCAATTTGAAATAGATTTACCTTTAACCCTTTACACCCAAACATCAGTATGTATATTCTCCATACTGTTCTCTATACATTTCCTAAGGAGCTGACAAGGAGAATTTGTTTAACAATCAAGGACTTCTTTAGTTGCTGATTGTTCCCTTTACTCTCACAACTTTAACATGTGATTTAGGGGTGATATTGTAAGGAGAAATTAGATGCTAATCACCCTAAGGGATTAAAATGTTACAGGTTGAGATGAATTTAGAACTAAAAAAATGCTCTGTGATATGTCTTACCAAAGCCAGTCCCTGATACAACCAAAACAGAAAGTGTGTGAGCAAGGCAAAGTGTGTGCCAATACCATCAGTTCATGACAGATACAGCAAAGTAGCTGCTCATTTAAATCTTTCAAGCACTTCTTCAATCTACAGTCATCTATTACATAAAATAAAAATTGACCATGAACCCTGGCGATGTAACCACTTATACCATAATATTTTCTCCCAGATTTTTTTTAGAGGAATACTTTGCCATTTTGATGGAGAATACAGCATTAAATCACAACTGATGGGAGTATAACTGGGTACAGGGAAATTTTCAGGGAAGCCTGATGAAATGCTGGGGGGGTGGGTAACCTTGTAATGGACTGGCAACCTATCCAGGGGGGGAGTTAAGTGATACTCCTAGTTGCTTCATGCCAAGGAAGCCAGGATAATCTCCCACTGGTTGGGTCACTTGGTTCAAGTACAGACTTTATTTACTCTTTTTTTACCAAAAGTGACATTAAGGGCTTTTTTCTTTACATCCTTTCAATAGACAGAATGCCTTCCATGGAGAGTTGCATCCTACATTTGTAACATTATTAAGATAAAGTTCAGTTTTACTCACTTCTTGGTGTTAAATGTACCTTCATTGGTGTTTACTTCTTCCTGTGGATCAGCTTTTTGATCAATTTCAAAAACCTGAGATTGGAAAAGAATATTAATAGTTTTCATACACGCCACAGAACACAATAAATAACTATACTAAATGATACCCTGAGAAATTGATAAATAAACCTGATAAAATGTAAAATTCATCTCTTTTAACCTTTCAACTCCCAGAGGTGATAACCTCTCTCTGTGATGTCCATATGTTATCCAGTAAATAAGAATACATGATACTAAAATTTATCAGTAGAAGTTGTTATCTTGATCTAAAACCAAATTCTTTTAACTAATTTATGAGAAAATTTAAAGCAGCTGGAGAAGAGAATTACCAATCAGATCTTAGGAGTTAAAGGGTTAAAGATATGTATGCTCTAGGAATCATATACTTTTTATCTTGTCATCAAAAGGTTTAAAATGTGCTGAAAATTCAATCAACACGGGTCATCTTTGAAACAATCAAGAACCCTGGCCAAACACACAATTGTTCAATACACATGAGTTATAAACAGCAGATGCTCAGGATATTGCAAGAAATCCTATCTTTGAGTAGCTAAAAAGGATTGCCATGAGATGAAGAGTAGTCAGACCTGGGGTCTCATCAGTGGGCTGCCAGTTTACAAAACAAAATCTAAGTCAGTGTTATTTATGAACCAATTTAAGAACATTTAGAGACAAGTTTTGGAAGATAAAGTTCCTCTCGGTAATTTCAAAACAGTTAGGTCTGATTATTTAAACAAAGTTTGGCCATTGTTTGACAAAACTGCATCCTAAACAATCTTCAATCATGGATGCAGAGCCTCATGTTGAGGATGATACAAGCGCTTAAAGGCTAATTCCGAGGGGCATGCACTGATTTGTGCAACTATAGCAACAACTGCCAACTGCCATGAATATTTAACTATACTGCCAGTAGCAAGTATACTACATCGACTAAGAACTGGGAATTACATCAGTTGTTTGTTGAAGTTTGGTTAGAAAGGGGAACATTTTACAATTTCACCAAAAGCACCACTCAGAGAATTGTAATTGAACAATTTATCAAAGGCATCCCAAATCTGTTAACCGCAGCTTATTTATGATAGGTGGTAAATTTTACTAAAGTAAAGGAAGATATAAGCTATATGTTTCTCAGATAAACAAGTTTTACCAATTGTGATTTAGAAAATAACGTAAACAGGTATATTTAACATTTAACCACAGGGAACCCAAACAATATGATAAATATCAAAGAAGATAGTCACGTACAGTAATGGCATAAGAAAATGGATAGAAAATGACTCAGTGGTTATATTTGAAAACTTTCATCCCAAATTTCCCCAAGCAATGTTGTTTAAGAGGATTTTTTTATTATTAGCCTTGCTTCCATATTAGCAAATTTCTGACATGCATAGTTGTTGTCTCCAGAAGTTAATTTGGATTGGCCCTATATCAGAGAATCTTAGTCTTGGGGTCACAAGTGTTGTGGCAAAGATTCATGCCTTTATCATAATTAATTTGAACAATTTTGGTTGATAACCACTCTGGACTGATATGTTTAATAGTGCAGGGAAATTGTGAATTAAAATAAGTACTAGTTTGGGGTTCCAGTTGAAATATGAATAGTTAAATCAATTATTTCCTAATAAAAATCATACTCATTTATCATTTCAACTGCACAAAAAATAATATTCACTCTTTGCAACCTTATTTTCCAACCTATTTAATTACAAGAGTTATGTGAAAATCCAGTGGTCTGAACAGACTCTTGTTACAAGCCAAACAACAACATTACCCATATGGCTGATACTAACAGTGATGATAAAAAACAAAATATTTCCAATTTCCCTTTTTTCCTGGGAGCAAGACTGAATAAGGTCAGATTAAACTAATGTGGAGTGGTTCTGTGATCTCTTTATAAAAATGGATGATTTACACCCATCAGATTTTAGAGAAATGAGACTTAGTCAAAAGGGGACTTTGACATGAAATATTATGCAGTAATTAGCACTAAGCTTGGCTGCTTATTTGAGGAAATTTACATTTTTTTAAGCCAGGGGTTTGGTTGTACTGATTTTATGGCAGACAAATCATACATCAATCACTTGAGAAATTTATAGCTCTCATCCTGAAAGCTCAAACACTCTCAGGGAACATGACAATATTTCACCTGATCACTTCTCAAATTCTTTTCCAATGAAATTTGGACATCATACTGAATATCTCAAGATCGTCTCCACATGCAACTTTGTGATTTAAAGGAGTAAGATATCAACATCTGAAGACTAACCCACCAGGTTTGTAGTCTCATATGCACATATTGATCATCAGTAAATCAAATCTCAAACTTCATGTTTTTGGCCTTTTTATGTGTTAACACTGCAATACATATGAATGACATGTTTAATCAGCAACAGGCAAAAACCCATGAGGAAGTTGTGGAAAAAAAAGTGGGGACAGGCTACAAGGTACAGCAGAAAAAATAGAATGAACAAAAAAAACAGTAGTACATTTTTTAAAAACATAAGCAATTAATCAAATTGCTATATGGTTGTTGTTGTTTTTTTTTTTCCAGACCAAAAAACTTGTTATGCATCTCATTGATTATTTTCACATTACAAATATGCCTACTAAACCAACTGATAAAGCCAGTTCTGCAATACATATGGCATCAAGTCTACTGCATGTAGACATTCAGCCAGCCATAGTAGTTGCCCATCCAGTTAATGGGGCAACAATACACAGCATTACTTGTATTTAAAAAAATGATGAGAATGTTATTTGCAGAGGAGGAATTGTTAAGACTTATATTGTTGCTGAAATGACTGTCCTGTTTGCAAAGTACCACCAAACTTACCTTGCTTCATTGCCCACTGTATTCCATTCCATAGCACCAGACAAGATTCAACAGCAGTTAATGGAACTGAGGTACAATAACCTGACTGAAACAAATGGAAAATATGTTCTGTCATTAACAGCATAGTGCTGAGGGCTAAAAGCTTTTGAAACTTGTTATTTACAATAAGTAATACAACAAAATTATATAGTGAACATAAAAGAGTAAGGCCTTGATAATTTCCTGAAAGCTCAGTCTGAAAATTTGGAATTAGACTTCATCAACCTATTATATATTTTTTTCTTTGGGGGGTGGAGGGAGTGGAGATGGTGGGAGTCTAAGCTAAATACCTACAGTGTGGGTTAAAGTTTAAACACCAAAGGAGCTGAAAAACTTCCTTCTAAAAGTAAAAACACTGGGTACTGAATTTGTTGTTACTGACATGACATAAGAGATGTCAATACAACAAATCCACATTATCATTTTTAGGTGACACTGCACATCAAAAAAAAAACCATAAGGATTCCCTTGCAAACTGAATTCCCAGTTTTCTGGGAATTCCTAGGAATTCTCAAAAGTTCCCAATTATGCAAATGATCCTTACAAACTGAATTCCCAGTTTTCTGGGAATTCCTAGGAACTCTTAAAAATTCCCAACTATGCAAGTTAGCTCTGATTTAAAAAGCTTGGAATTACTGGGAATTACTGGGAAAGGAAGACTCCAGTTTTGTGAGGACTTGGAATTCCTAGGAATTCCTAGGAATTCTCAGCTATACAAACTACCTATAATTTAAGAAGGCTGGAATTCTTGGGAATTTCTGGGAATTGAATTTGAGGCAATTTAAATACCCTGTGGTCCACATAAATTCTAAGAAATTCTCAATACCTTGAATGTGAAGGTTTTAAGAAAAGGAGTAATTTCAGAGGCTTAAAACTTTGGCTCAATAAAAGGTATGCTATACAAAACTTACCAAGAGATAAACATACATGTATATGTTTATAACTTAAAGATCATGAAATTTATTATTCAAACTAAGTTTTAGTAAATCTCTACATTAATATGGATTTTCTCATGAACCAGCAGTCAATTATGTTAAATGGAAATTGCCAATTAATCCAATGTACCCATATCACAGATTTTCTTTCTAACCTCAAATGACTCTTGGATTCCATGATCATAAAATATTTTATTGTGATGCAAATTAATGTCTCATGTTCACTGATGTGCCAAAATCATCAAACATTCATTAGCTGTTCCTTGGTACACAACTTCCACAATAATTAACAATAATTACATTGTTATCTACATTTAAAGAACTTTGTTAGTTATGAACATAAGTTACTTCCCTAACCTACATTACTGGTTGCCTTTGTTAGAAAACCTTGGAACAGTCAAGCTCAGTTGCCTCAAACACTGTCAGAGACTTTTTGTTGACATTACTTTTAGTAGAAACTTCATGCCTTATACAAACAAATTTATCACCTAATTAATCTTTCTTTTTTCATGATTGTTATTGCTGTATTTTTTTCAGTTTTTTTTACTCTGTTTTCGTGACTAATTGCTGTAATTTGTTTTGCTGTTTTTATTCTTACAAAACATTTTTGTAAGAGTTCCAATACTTGTGGATCATCCACACACTTTGCAAACATTTGGCATGCAGACAAGACAGAGGTAGTCAATGTTCCCTTCAAGAAAAAACACCTTTGAAATGAAGTCTTCAATTTACTTTATTTGAAACTCTGATCTGAAAATATTTGTCAACAAGACTTGTTAGTAGTGAGAAGTACAAACCAAGTTTCCTTTCATAACTTAATTTCTTAAATGTCCCAATCACTGTCTCTCCCAAAAAATATTACTTCTTTTTATTTTTGGTGCAAAATACAAGTCCTTCTTGATAAACAAATGAAAAGTGCAAGTCACACTTCAATAATAACAGCTCTAAAGTTTATTTGTTGTTCTTTTCTGTCTGTCAGCTATCAACAAAATTGTTTTATACTTCGGACAGTGTATAACTGTTTGTGGACCAAAGTTCCAACGCACCTCTGTAATCGCACATAGTTACTTCTGTCTCTTATACAAATGTTTCTCCTTTGTAAGACGCACTCTACTCTGTTGTCAGCACTGCTTTAAGTTCAATGGAAACGACTGACTGAGGAATCGAGATCGCGGTGTTGGAACATGTCGCTGAACGCTTGCTACGGTCAAGCTTTGTAGATTTAGGCACTGGTACACTAGGATCATCTATGTATCTCTTATACTTCCTAATTTGGTATCCTTCTTTTATAAATATGAGGGTGAAAGACGATTTGTAGTCGCATTCAAAACTGTGATTGGCTTGTGTTATTTCTCACCTTTGCCATGAACACCACTCAAGTGAGTTTCGAGTTTTTGTTTCCTCGACAACTTTCGGCCACAAATCGTGCATTTGTATTACGATCGATTCTTGTCGATTATTTCTTCAAAGAGTGAGCTCACATCGTTATTTATATCACCAAGGTATCCATCGTCTTGCAGCAGAGAACCGGTCGGAGAAGTCAAAATAAAGTTGCGCGCTTCTCTTAACACTGCAATCGGCAAGACAGCGGATTCACTTTGCTAGCCAATGACAAGTCCTAAAAGATCCACGTGATCATGCCCGTGATCGGAAACAAAGAGGACTCCATTTGGAGCTCGTCTTGGAATGTACTTTTCATCGGTTGATCGCTTTTCTCAACTGTTTTGCTTAATAGAACATTTCTAAAGATAGCTTTTATTGTGGTTCCATGGGAAAACGAGAACAGCGTGAGTGTTGTAAAAGAAAAGAAAGTCGTTGGCGCCGTGGAGTTAAAAGAAGGGACAACAGTTGACATATTGACTGGTACAAACAAGGGTCGAGTGGCCATCTGTAAAGCTACGATTTGGAAAGTTTGTGGTGAGTAAAAATTGCGATATTCGTTACGTGATCAAAATCTTATAAAAGAATAGATGTAACGGGTTGAATTAAGCTTACATAACGCTCGGTGCAACTAACATTAGAATAATTTTGAGAATCAAATCGGTCACTTGCATGCCGCAGTTTCCTAAGCTTAATTATGCTATCTATAGGTAATCACATGAGGCCAAGTACTATTAAGGATTAATTGCACGAGAGTTTTCAAAATTTTCCAAAATTTTGAAAACTCAAGTGCAATTAATCCTTAATAGTACGAGGTCTCATGGGATTACTTGTTTATCAATAAAGGGCAAAATTTATACGAAGGAAAATCACGCGCGCAGTCTATTTTTATCTGGGAAGCAACGGATTAGCAATGCAACGGATTAGCCAATCATTAACAGGTAATCATGCCCTCTCTTGATTACTAAAAATGCCCTCGATTAAGAAAAAATGCCCTCTCTCTCAACCAATCAGCACTCAGTAATTTTGCCCTTTATTGATAAACAATGAAATCAATCTATCAGTAAGGTTTCAAGATTCCTTTAGTCACGTTTGGGAACATTCAAGATTCATAATGGGAACTGTTATTAAACAAACCTTATTACTTAAAGAAGCCCTCCTTGGTAAAAACAAAAATAATGTGTTCAGCCCTTTTTTAGTAAAATCCATGGGAGAGATGTACTAACTGCAATATAAAAGTCACTCAATATAACAGAGATTTCTCAATTTGGAGAATACAATGAATGCCCTTTTCCTTATAGCCATCTTAAAGACATGGTCTGAGCTTTAAATATATATATTTATATATATTTTTTTTTTTCAAATTCAGATGACATGGAATCCAGATACAAAATGGTCAAACTTCTTGTAGACAACCTCATTCAAGGGCAACTCATTGTGAGCCCAGGGAAAAAAATACAAACAGCAGCTAAGTTTGCAGTCTAGGATAACTTCATTATAATTTGTTGTTACAGTTACAACAAGATTTTAATTAAAAAATCAATTTTATTTATCTGTAATTAACCCCTTCACTCCCAAGAGTGCTTGGTTTTCAAATATAATTTAAGATATTGTATTTTATGAAAAAGAATCAACAGATTTTATTCACAATTTGTGTCAAACCAAATTTAATAATTGATTAGGACTATTTTATATGAATAGCTGTAATTGAGGATTAATCCATATGAAGTTTTCAAGAAAAGATAAATAAATCAAATTCCATCCTAATATTACCACATGTTGATGTTAATAATTGATCAAAACTATTTTATATGTAAGTCTCAATTAAGCTTGTAAATAAATTTCATTGAATACTTGAATTTTAGCAGGGTTTTTTTAATTTAAAGTACTTATTTTATATCTGTTCATTAGCCTCAAATTTTTGCTTAAAATTCCCAGTAATTCTTAAACATTCCTAAAAATTCCTGAAAATTCCCAGAAATTCCTAGGAATTTTTTAGATTTACAGCTTTTCAGGGAAAGTCATTGGTTCTCTGAGTTGGAATTCCTAGGAATTCCTAGGAATTCTAAGTCCTGTTGGCTATAAACTTGGAATTTCTGGGAATTTCTAGGAACTTCTAGGTTTTTAGAACCAGAGTTGTTATGGTTGGGAATTCCTGGGAAAAAATTCATAGGAATTCCAAAATCCATTTCACAAGGGAGGGTTAAGATTTTTCTTTCATTAATGTATTGCAAACTGTACATAACTGGTAAAGGAGATCCTCTTTAATGGTTCAGAGATGACCTTTCTACATGTAACTGGAGTTGAGGCAATGGAAGATATTGCATGCTCAGTGTATTGTGGCATGATAGTATTTAAAAGTTTCCTGTTTCTGAATTCCAGCAGTGGATTGCTCTTGTATTCCAGCACTGTCATTTTCCAGCCCAACACAGCTGTTCTCAGTTTCTCAGTAGGAGTTAATTATTGTATTCCAGTACTGTTAATTTCCAGTCCCACACAGCTGTTCTGAGATTACCAGCAAGGAATAAATGTTCTTTTCTAGTACTTACTTGTATTTTCCTGCCCCTGCAAGCTGTTCTGTCTTTTTTGTTTTCCAGCTGGAAGTAACTGTTATTTCTAAGCACAATTATTTTCTAGCCTCTCTATGCTGATAAGAGTTTTCCTGCTCAAGTTAACTGTTATTTTCCTTAAAACAGAATAATATACATAAGGACCCAGTGAAGAAGCCTTCCTTGGAAACCTTGGAAACAAGACAATAATGTTTTTCACTGCTAAGATCAAAACTAAAAAATTCAATTGTTTGTTGAAAACAATGATATGTAATTATATATCATTGTTTTTGTTATATAATGTTAAATGTTACATAATGTTAAAAATATCAATGCCAACAGTAGTTCTGAACACAAAATTGAATAAATTTGACACCTGTGGAGTGTAGCATTGCTCATGAATGAGACAAGAATGTGCTTTTAAATTTCCATCATACCTGAATAATGTCTGTGTAAAATTTGAGCTCAAATGTAGTATTTTTAACTTATAAATCTACTCCTGGTAAGTGGCCCTGGCAAACTATCTTTACATGTAACTGCCAATAAAATAACCCTCCATCTTCATAAAGATCTAAGTAAGCTTTTAAGGCTTTCCTGTCATTTTTTTAAAGCATGGCCTCGCAAACTTTTTCTTTTAGCTCCACTGCTAAAAAACATATAGGGAAAGTCAAATAATCAACCAGCACAACTAGTGCTTAAATACTAAGTCGGCAATTAACTGAGACATCATTAACACCACACTAAAAAATGCAAGAGCCCTCAACTGGCTGAAACTTGCTTCAATTTGTTGCATACTATTCTTTCCACATTTCCTAATAAATTAACCTATATTTAATGGACACCTCTATAACACAGACACTAGGGAAGGTTATCAGGGGGTTACCTTTGATACTTTTATAACTATAAGTTCACTGCAGTTTAAAGTGATTTAATTTTTGAAATACAGTTCACTTCTCCACTTATCACACAACACCTGTGCAAAGCATGTCAATTGTAAATAACAAATATGGAGAGTTACAAATTCCTTTAAGTACTTTATAGTGCAAGCAATATGTTCCTTACCATCATTTTTGTGTTTTATTTCCATCTACAGACTCAAGTGGCTTAAAACAAATTCAAACAATTCTACTTCACTTCTTAAAGCAAGAAATCACAAGACTAAACAACAAGTGTAGAAACGTAGACATACTTAGGCTGAGACCTTAATTCAAAAATAAAAAAACTGTCCCTCTGCAAAGAAAAATGTACCACTGTTTTTGGTACCATCCTGTTCCTTCTCTAGTTTCTTTTTTTTTTTTACTTTTCTTTTCTATTAATTTGCAAACACATACCATGCTTTTTCTCAATGGGAAGAGTTTCCATAAAAACCCACATAACCAAAAAGAGTATTGGCAATATAGAAAACCAAATGAGTAGTGGTATCGAATTAAAGCTTGTAGCAATTCACCAACCTGACTATTACAGCCCATTTTTTTTCCCCAGGCCTATGTGAACTAGCTTTTGAGCACAGAATGCAATACCTCACCAAACATCCACTAGGATGATTCACTTAAATGTATGCATGGTTATCATCTCTTGCTGAGATTACGCACTTCACTTCAATGTTTTTGTTACTACACGTATGGGGGCTTTGGTAAGATTGTGGAAAGGAGGGACAACATTTGAGCAGCTGGGAAGGATTAAAATGACAGTGTGACAGCCATTTATTCCCACTTGGATGACAAAGTCTGGGGGACCTTTCCCTGGAAATAAAAAAGTTTGGATATCCAAAAGGGTCCATTTTAGGCCACTATTTCTCAAGTTGGCTAAAAATTATATCTGCTACAAGGGAGAGTATTGACACTGTTTTAATGATTAGAGTTAAGCTTTTACATAACTAACTATATAACATTATACATAGCAATGTTTTCTCATAGATGATGTCTGTGTAGTCTTGTTTGATTTTTACCTTTGCCTTGCTCAAAAATATTAAATTGTGCTCAGGAAAACATTACAATTTGGGGTGCAGTGCTGTGATTTCCGACACAGTATATTTAGAGCAATTACTGATGGCAAAGGAATTAATTGGTACTTCAATGATGAATGTAGAGCAAAGCAATCAATGTAAACCATCATACCCAAAAACATGGTGACTGGTACATTCACCTAGAACTCTTTGCCCAAGAAAATCCCGGAACCACTCAAAAACTGGAGCAGAAAAGGTCTGAAAAACTTAAACTTTGCATATATAATGTTGTTGTTCAGTGAAATATTGCTTTCTACATGTGCTTTACCCTAAGAATAATGGTAAAATGTACAGGCACCATCTTTGTCTTTAAGTGGATTGAACCTATTGGGTAAACACCAGAGAAAATCGATACAAATAGGCTAAGGGTTTAGTATAGGTATGCTGTGGTTTAATTTTATCCTTGGTTTAATTCTTTTACTTTTAATAGGAGCCAAATTGATAGTGACATCATCTCACCATAACTTAGACTAGGGGCTAAATTTTATCTTTCTTTACACAAATGCATTTTTCATTCATACCATTAACAAAACCAAAGGAAACTGATTTTTACACCAAGGACAAAAATTTAGCACAACATATACCATTTTACAACTAGTGCATAATTTGCCAAGAAAATGTTTACAATGGAGCTTACCACCTCATCTGCACTTTTGTTTACTTTGCTTTGCTGCTGGTTCTCATCCATGCCTGTACAAATGATATTATAAGTAAGGGTGAAAAGATTAGTATTTTCTTCACAGAGATAGTTGCAGAGAGTGTCTCCAATGATATATGGATTACCAAACACTCACAATGAACGCCAACAAGACCAAGTTCTTGCTAAACGAGTGTAAGAGCAATAATTGCTAATAATGGGCAATAGTCTGTATTGAATTAAGTATTCATTTATGCATGAATTAGTATTTATTTCATTTTAATGTTTGTAACACACAATTGAAAAAGTATGTAAAATGTAACATATAAAATACATATTGTTGTGGTATTCCTCATAATTTAGTTCAAGGGGCTTAATTCTAAATAGATCAAAAGAAAGAAAGTGGCATATGTCAGCCACTGATTTAAATAGAAAAGCACATATTATTAAGTGAAGAGTAATTTTACTGCAAATTTGTGCCCTTCTGGGTGAGCAAAGAGAATGATGACCCAACTGTTACTTGCTAGAGAGCATTAGGAGCCAGCACCCTATCCTTTATAAGAGACCAGATCTTCATCATATGTGTAAGCAGTTTGTAAGTTAACTTTCCAGGATATGTGAAGTTTGACGTCGACCATACATCCTAACTGGATTTTTGCGTAGCCCTATACATTTACAACGAATACATGTCTTCCACTGTATCCATAATAGCCATCTGTGTAGACACTATGAGATTGCTACATGTAACATAATACAAATTGTTTTGAGGCTGGGAGAAAATCACAAGTTTTTGGATTGAAACACCGAGATCGGTCCTGTTTTTTAATCGTGTAATATCTAGTTTTGCATGTCCCAGACAAAGTAAAAAAGTCAGTCCTCGACACAGAAGGATTCAATGAATCCAGGTATCATGCAGCTACATGAAACCTACAGGAATTTAGCATAAAATTTGAACGCGATCTTTGAAGAATGGTTGTAATATTTAAATTTAAAAAAAACACTAGCATAAAATGCAACGAAAACCTTACTTTATTGTATTAGCTCCAACAGAAAAGTAAGGAAAGCCACGAGGCAATGTCAAATTCTCGTCTTACTAAGCTTTCCAACGTGAGGAAGAAAAATTCCCTAATACCTCGCACTTAAAAACTCTACCAGAATCTTACTCTTTCACCAATCCGAAGCGTTCCAAAAGGCATCAAGGATAGCTCATGAAACAAGGATAACCCATGAAATTCTCAAACTTCGAGCGCGCAAATCTTAACGATCTTTTTACACTATTGCATTGCATCCCTCCCCTAGTTGGGAAGTGACACGCAGAAGGCACGATCACAACGCACTTTGATTGGAAGAAGTAAAACCGCATTCTATTGGTTATAAGGTGTGAGGACATAACTACAACGGAAGACACAACTGCAACGCTACAATTGATACCTGTAATACCTGTAAAACAGAGCGGAGATAGAGCATGTTCCAACCCCCAACTTCCAAGTTAGTGGACCAAGTCAGCGCTTTAGGATTTGAACTCTTTTCCGATGTAAATTTCTCTTTTGTACCCAAAAATTTCCATAGCTGACGATCACGTGAGTGAAAGCGATTGAACCATTTCCTCTCAATTATTTGAAGGCATTGTAATGCGCTGTAATGCACATCCTCGCTACATTTGCATATTTCGTCGCGTTTCTGCCAAAGATTGCGGAACTTCACCGCTTTTCTCATGCTCAATGAAAAGTTAGGAGCTTCAATCATCAGTTCTTGAAACTTCGATTTCTAAGCCGGTAAGTTTCATCCCTTCTTATCTGTCTCAAGAAATCGAATAGAACGCTCAGACGATTTTTGCAAAGTATTTTACATTATACAAAAGTCTATTTGCTCGTCTGTTCAAACTGCGAATGTTACAATCGATGGATTCACCTATTGCTCAAAACTCTTTAAAATTTTGTTCTTTAGCAAGTTCAAATACTGATTTTTAACGAAAAATAGATCGGGAAAAGTGAAATTAATGGTGATTCGCTCTGAGCACAATAAGCCCACGTTCTCGCCGCAAATGACTGCGTTGCAATAGGAGATTCTGTCTTCTTTGACTCAGCTGAGAAATTATGCATTGCATCCTAAATACAGTAGAACCCCGCTAACTCAAACCTGGTCAATTCGAATCCCCGGCTAACTCGAACAAGGTCAATTGGGTTTGAACTCAGTTATCTCGAACTAATTTTACTTTTTCTCGGCTCAAATTTACCCTGATATCTCGATCATCGTCAGTGTCAGAACAAAGCTGATTGACACGTCTCAACTTTAATCGCGATTGATTTGAACGCGGGAACATGTATATAACCGTAACACATTTAGTTAAACATAGGACACTTAAAAGTTTTTAAAAATGACTGTTGATTGTGCGAGAATGGTATATAGTGTGCATGATTTGTAATTAATTATCAAAAGGATAACACTGATTAACAACAGTCGCGATAACGCTACCTCGAACCGGTTTAGTTTCCCCTGGAAGTTCGAATTACCGAGAATTCTACTGTAGGTGGTAACTAGAGCAGTGGGTAGAAGTATG